GGTGTAAGACTGCCTGTAATTGCCTGGTCGGAGGCAGCGGTGGGCTTGTGCCTCCATTCATCCCTCATCCCGTTGCCGTCTGTCAGGCCACACCTGACCGCTTTATTGGGCATCATCCTGGTAAATGAGGCGCGGCGCTGGGGCGAGGTCTCCTCCCTTCCCAGCCAGCCTTGGCACAGGGTTTGCCAGCGGAAAGAAACCCATTTTACCCTCCTGCCTGCTGTGTTCAGGGACCTGGTGGAGTTGCTTTCTCCTTTGAGGACATGTGAGGACCTCATCCCAGAGTCTGTGGGACCTGGCCAAAAGCTGGACAGATCCATGTGCTTCCTCGATGGCTCAGCTGGAGCCATGGCTGACACTGCCCTGTCTCAATCCCGACCCCATCCTTGTCACCTGCAAAGTGACTCCATCTGCAGCAGGGTCTCCAAATCGCAGCCCTCTGCTTGGACTCATCTGGCATCTCCTGGCTTATTCCTGAGGGGATTTGTGGATGTGGCTGTCATTGGGGAGGACTTTCCCTCTCCGTGGGCTACTTACAGATCACAGAATCACAGAATGACCTAGGCTGGAAGGGACCTTAGAGATCACCTAGTCCAACCTCCCTGTCATGGGCAGGGACTCCTCTCAACTAGATCAGGCTACTCAAGGCTCCGTCCAACCTGGCCTTGAACACCTCCAGGGAGGGGGCAGCCACAACATCTCTGGACAATTTATTCCAAAGTCTTGCCGCCCTCGTACTGAAGAATTTCTTCCTAAGGTCCAATCTAAATCTATTCTCCATCATCTTAAACCCATTTCCCCTTGTCCTATCGCTGGACACTCTTGTAAAAAGTCCATCCCCAGCCTTCCTGTAGGTTCCCTTCAGGTATTGGAAGGCAGCTATTAGGTCCCCCCGAACTCTTATCTTTTCCAGACTGAACAGTCTCAGCTCCCGCAGCCTGTCCTCATAGCAGAGGTGCTCCAGCACCTCGATCATCCTTGTGGCCTCCTCTGAACATGCTCCAACAGATCCATGTCCCTCTTATGGTGGGGGCACCAGAACTGGACGCAGACATGTTGGCATTTACCGTCACCCATCTGCTCCTCACTGCTCTTACGGGAGTAACACGTCCTGCAGCTGCCCGGGCTGCAGCCTGCCCAAACGAGGTGTCCCCACAGTTGTGCTCCCTTGGCTGATGAGCCACACTCTCTCCTAGCTGTTCCCTGAGACTGGCCCCAGGCAAGGAGGGACCCGACTGACCATCACCGGTGAGAACCTGGGCCTGAAGTTTGAAGATGTTCGCTGGGGCGTTCGAGTTGGCAAAGTGATGTGCATCCCCATCGAGAGCGAGTACATCAGCGCTGAGCAGTAAGTGCCTGGCGAGGAGTGGGCAGGCTCCAGATCATGTCGGTGGGTCGGGGACAGGGGTACCGATGTCCAAATGCTGTCCATGCCTGAAGAAATCACAAAGCTGGTTGGGCTGTACTGGGAGAGAAGTACCTGCTGGTTGTGGTTGTTCTGGGAGGAATCCAAAGGCTTTAGGGGAAGCTTCCTTGTTTTCTCATGAACCTTCTGGCACCTGGGACCTTTGCTTGGTGTCAGATTTTTTCCTTTCTGAAGCCTGTCCATCCCCACCATGACACAAGGGAGCACCTTGGTGCCAGGACACCAAGGGCTCCTTCCCCACATCCCTTAGGATTGTGTGTGAAATCGGAGATGCCAGCCCGAGCAAGGTCCACCAGGCGCGGGTAGAAGTGTGCATCCGCGACTGCTCGCCCAGCTACCGAGCCACGTCCCCCAAGAACTTCACCTTTGTGGTAAGTCCTGTGCCATACGACCATGGGAGGGAGGTGATGCTGGGCAGTTTGTGTGGTTTTCCAGGCAAGTTGGACAACTGGCCGTTATGTCCCCGGCGGGCAGCAGGGGATGCTCTGGGCAGGCGTTGGGTCATACTAGTTGAATTTCGTCAGGGGTGCCACTACTTTGTCTCCCTGTCCTGCCAGCACTATGCCCTGTTGCTATTCCACAGGTCCCCCTCCTCTGTGGCCTTGTCACCCACTTGGGGCTGCAGGTTTCAGTCCCCAGCCTATGTGATACCAGAGATGCTCTTTTCCTTTGGCAGACGCCCACTTTCTCCCGTGTGGTCCCAGCCCGAGGTCCTCTCTCTGGTGGCACCTGGATCGCCATCGAAGGCAGCCACCTCAATGCTGGCAGCAACGTCTCTGTGACCATCGGAGGACGGCCCTGTGCTTTTTCATGGTGAGGGGCACGGAGGGTGGTGGCGGACAGGCAATGGGCACCTCTGGAGGCAGCGAGACCCC